AATAAGCTCGTCGCTAGATGATTCGTAACTGCTCCTGTAGCATCCATCTTGACACACCACTCGTCAAGCGATCTGGCAGCTTATTTGGAGAGGCTGCCCGGCCTCAGCACCAGTTTGGCACCCCAAGCACCCCATTCAGTGCCAACGTGTCCAAGGTCACCACAGAGTCTTTTGGCAGTCGCCCCAGCATCTTCGGTGGCTTTGGCAACTCGCATCAGCGTCGGGGAAGCTTCATCAGCATTGATGGTGATGACGATGCCCAACCGGACAATCAATCGCCAACCGCCAACCGAATGACGGACAGCCAGTCCAGTATCGATGAAATGCCACCTACGCCTACTAAGCCTAGTGGTGGTTCAAGCCGTCGATCCAAGGAAAGCAGCCTTCGGCGCAAGACGTTCCGGTCACGCCCTTCGATCGGCAATGACACTTTTGCGGTCCCCTTGGACAACGACGGTCGCCCAACGAGTAAGTGCCTCTCCATCTCAACAGAAGCAACCCCGCGCATCGACAGCTCTTCATTCGAGTACAAAAAGTCCAATTCTACCAAAACGCGCAAATCTCCTTCTACCCAATGCACGCGGAAACGAACATGGCAGACCAGCCAAGCTGGTCGCCCATCTCCGTGTTCGCGGCGTAACATTCGTACAACTTTTCATTCCTCTGTTCCTCCGTATCTTGCTGACCAATCGACAGCTGCTGGAAGCCTATTCGGTTCCTCTTCGCCGCAAACTCCGAATGAGTCGTTTGGCGCACCAGATGCGAGTAAGCTATCGATTACTGGGAACAGGCGTGGGTCACTTCCCTTCAACAACAGCTTCGGTAGCAGCTTCGGCCCAGCGACCCCCACGACTCCCAGAGACTCTTCAGCCTTCTTCAGTAGTGTGCAGGGCGCTATTCCCATTGGTCTCACGAAGAACGATGTGGACGAGGCTCTGAGCTCCCGCTTCCACGAGATCAAGCCTCTTGATGGTGGCGAGGGTGAGTTTTCTACAGTATACCGAGTGAGCAAGCCTGTCAAGACTTCACCCGGAAGGTCGCCTGCAGGCAGCCAGGTCTGGGTCGTGAAGAAGTCAAGGAAACCGTATACTGGTGCCGGTGATCGCCAGCGAAAGATGCGCGAGGTCGAGATACTGTATGCCCTTCAAGGCAACGAACACGTGATGGGCATCAAGACTCATTGGGAGTTTGATTCCCATCTCTACATCCAGACGGAGTACTGCGAGGGTGGCAATCTGAGACGCTACCTCGACACCGTTGGCTTCAACAGTCGCCTCGACGACTTCAGGATCTGGAAGATTCTCCTGGAGCTGTTGATGGTAAGTTTTATCTTATCGTTATCACTATCGATACTGACAAATGACGTAGGGTCTCAAGTTCATCCATGAGTCAGGATACATCCACCTCGACTTGAAGCCAGCCAACATCCTCATCGACTTTGAAGGTGGTCTCAAGATTGCTGACTTTGGTCTTGCAAGCCAATGGCCAGCACCCAAGCACATTGATGGTGAAGGCGACCGTCACTATCTTGCACCCGAAGCCCTCAGCGGCCGCTTCGACAAGCCTGCTGATATTTTTGCTCTGGGCATGATGCTCGCCGAGATTGCCGGCAACTGCGTGATTCCAGAGAATGGCGTGTATTGGCAAAAGCTCCGATCTGGCGAATTCCAGAACGTTTTGCCGAGCTTGACCTGGAGTGCCGCCAGCAGCACTCTCACTCGAGACTCGCACGGTGATCCAATTACCGAGGATTCCCGACCTTCTATGGATGGCTTCCTCATGTCGGACGCGGATGAAGATCCGATGGCTTCCATTTCGGTCAACCCAGCCTCTAATCCCGCCGAGGAACTCGCGCGCGCTCCTCGTTTTATGGTGGAGCGGGATGACCCAAGCTCCATGGATACTGTTGTACACGCCATGCTCAACCAAGACCCTGATCAGCGACCAACCGCCGAGCAAATCCTTCAATGCTACGGCTGTCAGTGGGTTGACTTGCGAAGGCGTTCTGGTGCTACCGTGTACGAGGGCAACTTTGGCCCAAGTGACGAGGTTCTCGCCACCTACACCACCAAGGACCAGGATCAGGTTCACAGTGATGACATGATGGATATGAGCTAGAGGAAACTGACACTGCATCACCATCTCTTTGACCATGGACTCATGATCATCACTTCTTTTGCCCGCTCGCTTTTTTGCGCATGACGGGGCTTTCTGCTTTGTACGAATCCGGATCTGCTGTCATCTGTTCGCAGTTTTTGCAGTAGGATGCTCCGGTATTGTTCGCTTGTACATTTGGGTATCTTTTTCATTGTTTTGTCCAGGCGTTTACACGAAAGAAACGGGATTCAAAAAAAGCACTTTTGGTTGCTTCGCTTCTACGACGACTCTCATCTTGTGGGGGTTAACCCATGTCTTTACCACCACCACTTTGTTCTTTTACGATACTCTCCGAATTCTTTTGACGGCCACTTGTGTTTTTGGTTTTTGGTTTTGGTAAATGGGGTTTTGGCACTGGCTGGGTCGTCTACTTTTCCTTCGTCTTTGGTATTCGGGCGAGTTTTTCGCCTAGCTGGTGGGCGTTGTATGCGTTGCATATGCATCCCCCCACACGAGGATACCTTCGCAGCTGGAATAGCGCGAATGGGGATTGGCGTTTATGCTACTCTTTGTTTTTCTCTTTTTCTTTTCTCTTCTCCTTACTCGACGCGGTGACGAATAGGTCTCCGGCTTCCCTTGCTCTCTGCTAAGGGATCACGTTTTTGCGGCTGGATTTGTTTTGTCTAGTCGTTATTTGACGAGAGGGGTTTTTGTGCTGGAAACCGGGTTTTGGCGTTTGGATTTGCGGGCGAGAGGGGAGGGGGTTGGGTTTGATCTTGTTATGTCTCGAGAGAGAAAAGGAGGATTCAGTATCCTTGATACTCGCTCGCTGGCTTACAGGCCTGGTTTCCAGGCATGGTGTCGGTTTGGGGGTAGCATTGCATGTGGGATTATAGATGTGCGCCCCCCTCAATGCCTTGTTTTGTGTGGTGCATAGGGATGGCACAGGGCGGGTCCGGGGGGGGGGATTTTTTTGGAGGTCGTGTTGATAGTGGCGGATCATTATCACTCTTGAATGATATGTTTCATGACCATGATGGGCGGGTTTGTGCTGTGCTGTGCTGTGCTTTGTTGTGATGGAATGGGATGGGATGTGCTCGTGTAGTGTGAGGTACTATGGTATAACTTGTCCATTTGTTATGTCTGTCTTTCTCCCTCTCCCCATCCAACTCCCCTACCATTTTAAAGTCAACACATGAAATCGGAATACAGTCTCTAATCTCTAGTCTCTACTGTCTAGACCCAACCTCAACCCCAACCCCAAACCCCAGCTGCGTAAACATCGTTTCCAAACACGCAAACACACGATCCCAGCGCTATGTGCAGGATTCTGGCTAGTTCAGGCACGTTCAAAGTAAAATATCTCTGCATACTCTAGGTACACGCTCGTTGTATAATTGGCTGCATGTCGGGAAGAGGAAGCTGGTGTGGTGGGTAAGATGATGTCGGATGGACAAGGGGGGAATGGAGGTTATGGGACGGTTTTGCGGGGCGTTTGGTGGTTTCACAAAAGCGGTATATCGGTTGTACTTGGGCGGGAGGGGATGCGTTGGGTTAGGTTGGGGTTGGTGGGGTTTGCTGTGTGTAATGAACGGTTGAAGTCACACGCATTCCTTTGAGTTGCAACGAGATACTTTGAAAGAGTCGATAGTATACAAGGGGATACCCAGCAAAACACTGCTCCACGCCTCCTTTCAATCCCAAAAAATATACCCATCTATCTCCATGTACTCTTTCCAGCAAACTCCCACTTTTTCAAACACTGGGTTCTGTTGTGCATGTCTGGAAGCTTACAGCGCCGCTTAGGGCATCAAACCCAGGGAGGGATGTGAGGGCGGTGCGTAAGTGGCAGTTTGCGTATAAATATGTATGCTATCTTTGTTACTTTTTTGTTGCGTGGAGGCTTGTGTATATTTGAATGCTTTTGCAGCTAGAATCGTGGACAGCGAGCATATATGGTTTTCCGTTTGGAAGTAAGAGAGGGTGGATGATGCTGTATGTCTTTACTCTGGGGAAGGAAGAAAGGGTGACATGCTTGTGTGACATCGGACCCAGTTCACGCACATGTTATGCCGGTTGGCAGAGGCGGCGCCATATATCATGGGTGTGGAAATTGAAGTTGGTGTGTCGATGGGGTGATGGAGTTTTGTAGGGATTGAGATTATGGTGAGGGGTTTTCGGGGGTTTAGGTGTGGAAATGGCATGTTGGGTAAGTCTTGTCGAATGACGGCGTATAGACTTACCGTATATCACATGTCCTCTATCACATGTCCTCTATCACATGTCCTCTATCACATGTCCTCTATCACATATCCTCTATCTCCCATCCTTCCCATCACCCCCATCCCTCCCCCAAACCCCCCAACCACCATATAAACCCCCACCTCCACCCCCTCCCCTACCCAAACCCTCACCCAACAAACTCCACATCCACGCATGAAAACCAAAAAGATGAATACTTGTCGGCCATGCGACCCGCTTTTCGAATCAAATCCCCCTGTCCGTTAACTTGACTTGACTGGCTCATGTGCCTCGATCAATGTCTTTGCATAACTTGTACGCACTGGAAGAAGACATTGAGCTGGAGATGATGTTTCCGCGGATAGTGTTTCACTGCGATTACTCAATAATGTAGGGCTTGGTAAACATCTGGAAAGAGTGCGTGGGGAATAAGTCATGATGAAAATTCGTCTACGCACCTTGCTTACTTGCTCGAATCCGGGATGTCTGTGCTCTTTGTGTTTCTGTTTCCAAACGCAAATGTAAAAAAATCATGTGAAGATGCGAATGTGCGGCAGTGTTAGGGTGCGGCGCTATTGGAGCCGGGACCTGGGAAATTCATGGATATGATTGATGAATAAGACTGGAGGACGTTTTGTGGTTGATGGGGGTTTGATAGAGAAAAGGAGGAGCGACTGTGGGTTGTTTATAGGATGCATGATTATCACGAGTCCAAGTAAAGACAGCCGTTGGGGTACAATATCATAACAAGCGTGCACAAGATCTCTGTAAACAGCAGTGCACATCATGCCAAACCCCTCACTCAAACACCTTCCCTCTAACCCCCCTCTCATCCACCGCATCCCCAACCCCCTTCTTAATCCTCCCCACCGCCCCCTCCCACACCCCCTCAACCTCCAGATCCTCAACCACAAACTCCACCCATCGTACCACCCCCACTGCCTTTGCCAAATCCCTCTCCTCCACCACAACCTTGCTCAAATACTTGACCAGCGCGCCAACATCCTCGCCATACGGTCCTTCATCTGCAAACTCCTGAATCCACTCCTTGACCGCGCTTCTAAGATCTTGTTCCCGCGAGAGGCGTTGCGTGGTAAATGTCGGTTTCCTGGGTCGAGGGAGTTTAATCGTTTGGGCGGGCCGTGGAGGGGGTGGTACGGCAGCAGCCATTGTTTTTGCCTTGCGGGTGACGGAGAGGCGGAAGGCTTGGAGTTTCTTGCGTTTGTGCTCTGCGATGATTTCTTTGCGGATCTCGTCGGGGAGGGCGGCGAGGAAGTCATGGTCAAGTTCTTCTTCGTTGTGGTTGGAGCGTGGCCGTTTGGGACTGGCGGTAATAGCGGCAATAGGTACGGTGTCATGCTCTTCGTCGGTGATGACGGGTTCAAGTGATCGTTCTCTGCTGATGCTCTCACGGGCAGGGTTTTTCAGAGAGATGAAGTTTGCTTGGGTGAGCCTTTTGCCGTCATGGCTGACTGCTGTGGCTTGGGCAGCTGCGGCGAGCATGGCTGATTTTGGGGGACGACCTCGCCCGCGCTTGACGGGGACCATGGGTTTCTTTGCCGGTATGCCTATGATCCTGTTTTTGCGGGGAGATTGGGGTAGTAAGGTCTGATCAGCGTGCCTCGGACGTCGCGAGGGCGAAGAGGCTACCGAGTTGGCGGCATATTGAGCCAGAACTTCAGCCCGTACGTCCTCTGGAAGTGCGGCCAGAATTTCTGGATCGAGCTGAGACTGAGCAGGGAGTGCTGTCATTACAAAAGGTGGCGCTTTTGTTGGCGTGGCTGGGTCGTCTTGATAGCCATTTTGTGATGAAGGTGTGGGAGACTTGTTCTTGGTCTGACGCAGTAGTTTTGAACGAATGTCTTCTGGCAACTCGGCCAGGACTCCGGGGTCAACTTGGCTAGGCATGATAAATTGCGTCCCCAGAGTATTCAGCGGCCGCCGAGATGGGGTAGACTGATTGAGTTGCTGGGCACCAAAAGAAACGTGCTCGTCCTCCAAGGCTGTTTTCGATTTCCTCGGTGTCTCAGGGTCATCTTGTATTGGGTCTTGTTTTACGAACTTGGGCAGCTGGCGAGATGTTGGAGGTTTCGTGGCAGAGATGGTTGGCTTGGCATCACCGGTTTTGAACTGTAGCCTGCGTTGTGATCCCTCCAGACTGCCATCAGTAGCGCTCCTCATCGGCTCCAGCTTTGTCATCTGGATACCAATTCCTCGTAGTTCCCCAGGCGTGAAGCCAAATCCTCGCAGGATGCCCAAGGCCTCTTTAGTGAGGATTTCCTTTGAGTTCGTAGCGACCCCAAGCACTAAGCTCTTGTTGTGAGTATCGCACTTGCCATGGCCGAGGTGTTTTGGTGGATCTAAAGGAGCATCGGGCGAACGTCGCATAATTTTCATGGTGAATTGCTTGCCTTTGACCTTCTCTTTTAGCAGCCGCTTCTGCAACTCACCACACAAGCTCGCAATGAACTCATCCGCCTGTTGCTGAGTCGCAAACCGAACACCCCAGTTGACTTCTGCCGAAACAGATTTCCGCACAACCTGCTCGCCAACCTCCTGGCGATCGATTCCTCGTGCATACTCGTACAACTTCTCGCCAGTCTTAGGACCCAGCGTTTGAACAAGTCTTTCTTTAGTGAGCTCTCGAACATCCTTGACGTATTTCATACCCAGCTCTTCAAGCTTACCGCCAATCGAAGACGCGACTCCCGGAAGATCCTGAACTTGCAACTCACCAACAAAATGTAGCACCTCCTCTGGCTTTATCTGATGCTGCCCAGCAGGTTTAGCCTTTCGCAGTGCTACCTTGGCTAACAGAATGTTGCTGCCAATACCCACAGACACGTTGCAACCAGTTTTGGCGTAGACTTCCTCCCTGAGATCCCGGGCGATTTCATCCGCCTTTGACTGCTCGCGATAGGTACTGCCTTCAGACTGTCGTCGACCATCACTGCCACCAGCGGCGATACAGAGGTTCGAAACATCAATCAGCGCCTCATCCACGCTTACACTCTGAACCAGCCCGCCAGTAGCAAGAATGGCATCATAAAAAGCACGGCTGGCTTCTTCATACGCGGGAAAGTCATATGGAAGGATCTTCACATCCGGGTAAAGCTCCAGAGCCCGTTTCATCCACATGCCGTTCCTAATACCATATTTTCGTGCTGGGTAGTTGCAACTGGCGATTTCAGAGCCACTTCCTTGCCCATGTGCGACTACTGCTGGCTTGTCTCTGTATTCAGGGTTCTTCTTCAAGCTGACTGCAGCAAAAAAGCTGTCAAAGTCTACATGTAAAACGTAACGGCGGGCGCCTGGTGGCCGCTTCTGTTTGCTTTGTTGCGATGAGCTCTTTTCGCTTGCCAGCGCCTGGAGCTGAGACTTGAGATCAGCCTTCCAAGTCGACAAATGGTGCAATCTTGATTCACGATAGTATTGTTCCAAAAAGTGGGGATCGACGACGGTCGATTTGCGAATCTTAGGGTCACTGAGAAGAATAGCATTGTGTTCCTCGGCGGTCAAGGGCCTCCCTTTTGGGTCAGGTGAATTCTTTCTAGTAGTTCGTGATTCTTCATTATTGGTGGCATCAGCATCGGGGTCCCTGTGTCGTGTATGGCGTGTGGTAGGGTTAGCGTAAAGGCTATCATCAAGGCCGTCAAGTTCATTGTGATAATCTAAAGGGTTTCCAGGCTGTTGTTGTGCGGCAACGAGAGGGCTTGTCTTGGGAGGTGTGACCAGCTTTCCTACTTTGCTCGATCCACCAGCTTTGCGGTGCAGACGATCAGAGGCCGACAGACGAGAAGCTGGCTGGTCCTCGATTTCATCCTCTGGCGTGGGAAGTCGTTGCTTCGAGAAGCGAGATCGCACGTGGTTCAGGGGTGTTGGTGTACTGGAAGGCCCGGCCTGTGTACCCTGGAGCTGACCAGTATACCAACTAGCCTCTGTTTGATCGCGATATCCCCTAGTCTTGACGTTGGAGCGGCTCGTGACCTTGCCTTGGTCGAAACCTAGCACATTCTGTTTGTCGCCTTCATCCACAACGCGATATTCGTTCCACGGAAGTAACTTTCCCGCCTGGATGCTGTCCACTACCCAGGCTGGCTTGACGATACGGTACCTTTGAAATTCGACCACTTTCTTGGGAGTGAGATTACTAGCGATGATGTGAGTGACGGTGGTCTTGCCGTCCAGATACTGCATGAAGCCACCGCCATACTGCACGATGAGTGTGTGCAGATCGTTGAGTGACGGCTGGGTATAGCCATTGACATGCGCGACGACTCCTTTGAAAATGGGCGGCCTGTCACCGGCCTGCGATCGGATGTCGGCGTCCAGGTTTTGAAGTTTTATCTTCTTCCGCCGAAAGT